CTCTATCGATGGCGTATACGTTGGGATTATGGAGAAGGTGGGCCCTATTGGTGGAATAACACCCGAAATACTTCGAGGGTGGAGAAGGGAGGTCAATGATCCCGTAAGGGACCTTCGAATTGACATGCATCTGACATGGTCCAAGAAGCATGAGATCCCTTAACTAAGACATATAGTAGTTTTGGTCGTTTCAACGGAGCAGGGGTGAAGTGAAGAATCGAAGATGGGGGCAGGCTCCTTAAAAACGTACTGTAGTTTTTGTCCTCATTGTTGCTGTTGCGACGGGAGGTATGTTGAGACACCGCCATTACCATTATTTCCAAGTAAATTGTAATACCACCCCTTTTCTGTAATCTGACGTGGAAGAAGAAACCGGCCTGGTGGCCAATCATGTACGAAACACCATGTTCTAAAATTGAAACAGCGCTAGCGGCCTGACTGGCGATGATGGTCGAGCCTAAACACCAGAATGGCCACAATCATGAAAAGACACTTCTACTTCTCTTTGTTAGTTATGTTGTTAATTAAATCAAGTTACATACTTTAAGCAGTCGCACACGAGGGCTCGCTGAAAGCTCACATGTCAGATTGCCCTTTTTTGATGTCTAATCTCCTCCGCGGTTCCGTGTGGAAAAATTGACATATGTGAAGCCGATGTGAACGAGGAATTGATCGTCTCCCGCTGCTCTGTACGTGTATGTACACAACGCAGGCCAAGCCCGTCATTGATAGTACAAAAACGGTACGGCACTTGTACGGAATCAACCGGAAAATAAAATGACTTATATAACTTGGTCTGATCTCTTGTTGACCAAATCCCCGCTGCAGCTGCTTCATTCCGAGTCCAATGCCCTTCGTCAAAGTAACGACTTCCACTGGCTGGATCAACTTTCACTACAATATATGCACTCCTCTCTCAGAAAATGCAGATCGAATTGATCCCAGCTTACCAGTAGTTTTATTCTTCCATGCAATGGCAATTCCCTCAATCTTTCATTGTAAGTTGGTCTGTGAAGCGAAGCTCAGTAATGACGAACCTCTGTAGCTCAGTTTTGTGATCCTGCTTTGCGAAGCTTTAACCTCGTTACATTTGACTTGCGTTGGCATGGACACACCACAAGTACACGCGCTAAGGAACCCTATGGTCAGGAGAATGCAGCAGAGGATGTGAAAGCACTCATAGTACGGGCTTAGTAAAGTGAACAAGGGATTAAGCGTATAACTGACATGTTTTTCAGGATGTTCTGCAACTACCTCCGTGTCATTTTGTCGCTATAGACATTGGGACCCTTATGGCGATGCAGGTTGCAATTGAGAACCCGAAGCAAGTACTTTCACTAACTTTGATATCGCATGTGTGCTTGGAGGAGGTAAACATAGTATATTCGTCGTTCTTCTACACAGGGAGCTCACGCATTGCCATTTATAGCTTCCTGATATTCAAGAGGGGCGCGCAGAGCTTTTCAGAACCTGTTCCTCCCTGATACCTGAAGTAAGAGTCGACACTGCAATTGGATATATGCAGTATGCGTTTAGCAACAAGATTACTTTTCTGGGCCAAGCGTGCGTGTATCACCCGATCACTCACTTTTCATACCCTGAATCGAGTTAACTTCTAGAACCTACGATTTTATGTTGCCCTTTGCATTGGAAAACTGGGACGACGAACATTATTTGGAACACAAGATAGCCTCTTTCGAAATCTTCGTCCACCGAAAGGCCCAAACCCAAGAGGCGCTATCTCGTCTCTCCTGTCCCGTCAAACTCGTCTACGGCACAGCCAGCTTAGCGTATCCCCCAAGTTACACCAAAAGACTGTACCTCGATCTCAAAGCTGCCGGCGTACAAGCATCAATGCTCGAGGTCCCCCATGCACCCCATTATCTATCATTAGACCATAGTGACGAGTGAGTGTTCGAAATTCTCGTTATTAACGACCGAATTTAGTAACGGTTATCACAGAATAAATCCCGTTATCTACGACTTTATTGTGGAAAACTCGCAGGGAAAGACGATACGTACCCCATCACGCTCAAACTACATTTCACCATGGGACGGGGTTCTACGCGCATGTGGATGGGATCCCAGTAGGCAGAATGCTCTAGATGATGATATCTTCACGGTTTCTTGGGTACGTGGCATTCTTCCCTGCTATGGTTTGAACCCGCTCTGATATTGTAATAGCCACCGAATCCGCATATGAAGATGCTGCAGACGTGACACGAATGACTGAATACTACAGGACTCGTTGTGGTTACGTTCCGCCGTCTACGTACAGTATGTTTGGTTAATAATTGAGGACTGCTTTCGAATTGCTTTGTGAATATTAATCGTATCAATTAACGGGCTTCGGTCTAATTGCGGGCTTGATTTCTATATATTCAAGATGTACTCTGTACTTGGTTGTGAGCTCTCCGCCATTTGCTCACCAACTAGGGATGAAAATTTACTGAAACTCGCTTTGACCCCCCCGCTGGTATGTGTTTACCACCCTCCACAGTACTTCCTTCCATCTCTCATGTACCTGGGAGCGATTCTCCTGGAGAGTCTAATGCGTTGTACCGAAGACCTCACAAACTTCTCGCGCCGTTTGTTGTCCTGACTAAAGCTTCAGAATTTGGTCCTGAGCGGCCGTCAAGGTTGCAATATGAAAACGGACATGCTAGCCCGCCCTGAATATATACAAGTACTAAGTACAAAGAAACCGACCCAACAATGCCGTCCACCATGAAACCGCGTTCAAACTTTTCAAAACAACCCTCAACTATTCGGTTTTCAAACTCGACTTTTTGGTTTGTTTCTCATTTATTGTTTTTTTTGTGATGTTGTCATCTCTCCGACTCTTACACGAGTCCCGCACTATCCCCAAGCACCGAGTTACAGGTTATGTACAAAAGTAGAAAGGCATTCAGAATGAAAACTAAAAGATCTACTGGTGGCCGATCAGCCATCACAAGCGGCTTGGGAGGGAGGAATGTCGAAAACAAACACACCTTCATATCTTTAGAACTCATGTTTAGAGCGTCCCATTCGCTATCTCTGAAGGTAAACCGTCGAATCAAAAAATCGTTGACCCAAAACAACGGGGAAGTATATAACCTCCGTTAGCCTCCGGCTGTTGCTTGGGGTTCCCATATCTAGAGATACTTAAGATGACATATGTGGTTCCAATGATTTTGCGACTCCTATTGCTTAGCTGCTATTATAAGCAGTACCAGAGTATCATACGATAGTCAATCGCGGGACGCTAGGGAACACCGTTAGTGCTAGCCCTGCCCAGACCTGCCCAGGCCCATGTAAGTACATGCTGCCAAATTAAGTCTTCAATCTTCAAATCAAGAAACAAGAGAGTGGATCACCTAGCAATATATCAAGATAGTGAATATTTATCTGAAGAAGCATTTATGTATCTTTCACGCGCACCTCTGACTATGTTTCCTCTGTATGTACACGACTTTGGCACAGGGTATCAATGTTGGATCACCTGGCCACCGCTATTGTAGAATGGCAAATACTTACTTATTTGAGGAAGACCTCCTATTTTACACCACTTTGGCACTTTACTGAGTACGACGAATGTAGGCCACCTGATTCGGAGGGGTAAATGCTGGATCATCTGAGCTATTTTAGAATGCTTATTTAAAGAATTCTTATACGCGCACCTCCCACCTCCTATGTCTAGCATTTTACGCCACTTTGGCACTTTACTTAAGAACATAGTCCACCTGATTCGGAGGATATCAATTGTGACCTGGCCATATGAACACCTATGTATCTGGAAGCTCTCTATGCGCACCTCTAACGTCATTCTTACACCACTTTGGCACTAAACTTAGTACCATCGAATGTTCCTGAGAGGCATTCAGGAGACGGTCCACCTGATTCTGAGGGATATAGGCAGGGGTTAAATGTTATATACCAATCTAGGGGTTGTTTCTCAGTCATTAGGTGATACAACCTCCTACCAAGAGACCACTTTTCTGGGAAATCTACCATAACGAGTTCAGCTGATAACGAGTTCAGCTGATAAGCCTTTGGATAGACTACTGTCGGTGCTTATAGTAAGAAGTGCGATGTACTTAATCTCCGCCCTTAGGCTCGATCCCAGCATTCAGGATGTATTGGACAGTCGTAGGAGGGAGGAAGCCTATTTAGGCAGTTAGCTCAGCAGGACGAAGTACCAGTCAGTAGTCAAGGTGGCTTGACCCAAACTAATTTGAACTCACGGAGTTAAAATGTTAAAGCTTAAAAGTCCATCCTTCTTCTAGAAAGCACGGGTTCAAATCCTAATGGTGTCGGGGCTATTTCATGGGCTATGGCAGTTTTCGACGCTTTTCGAAGTTTATTATTAGCTTTTACGTAGCCGAATGATGAATACCTTACCCAACAATAAGGACGAGTCAAATGCGTTTCCAGCACCAGTGCGGTCAACCAATTGGGCATACCGATTTGCACATGTTTAATGAGTGCAAACCCCAAGATCTACTTTAATACTTGCACGCGGATAAGCCAGCATGCACATGGACGGAGCGGTACACTTGCGATCGCTGTCGAAATCATAACCTAAGATAGTTTGTTTTATTAGAATCGGCGGAGGCGTAACTTGTAAGAGGCAGACGAAAGGATTTTGAGTTCTGGTGTTGGCAGATGCTAGGGACCGTCAGTGGATTCCGTTAGCTGGAAAAGTACCCATGGAGCAGCCTTGAGATTTGAAACATTCAGTAGGAGGATCAGGTCAGAGCAAAGAGCTGACAATGGACGCGTAACGGTAACTTTGAGCCTAGGTGGCGGTTTAAGCAACTCGATATGCACTGGAGGAGTCAGCCTTGATTGAAATCGACTAGAGCTTTGAGAGGGAAAACGCTGATTGTCGTAAAAGAGAGGAGTAAGTAAATGGAAAGGTACACCCACGATTTGCCGGGTTCTTAATTTATCAGCTCTGGTTCAAGCAGATGTTCTGCCCGAGAGGAGACAGGCATTTCAGTTATGTCGCAAGTACCGGCGCTATAGCCAAGTGGTTACGGCGACAGATTCGAATATGATCGGTATCTGTTCCTCTTTGAGGGCGCAGGTTCAAATCCTGCTGGCGTCGCTAGACTGTAAATCAATGCGTTTCATTTTTACAACCGATAGCTCCCCAGACCCTAGGTCTCAAGCCGGTTAGTCTCAAGCATACATACATACTCCTTATACACTGATGATCCTTACTGTATATGGAGTCTGCGGGTTCCCACGGGCTCTTGAGCCGCGCCAAAAAGATTGGTCAAATTGAGCACTGCCACTTGGACGCGCTTATTTTATACCATCTCCTACCACCAACCAAGCTTCTCCTGCGCGTATTTCACGCGTTATTTCAATAAAAAATTCTTCGCTGTCACTTCGCTATTCACCGATAAATTTTATCACCGAAAACTACCGAAAACTCCCGAAACTGACCACGGATTTGCATCGTTTGGTGCCGCCAGCATACATAATTTTTCCTTTTAGTGTGCCAAATCAGAGACAAGGGGGATGCCGGTAATTGGGAATGAGAGTATGAAAGGCTCTAAAACCACGGCTGCTTTGTTGGAAGGCTTGGTACCTACTCGGAAATGTTAATGAGGTCGTACCTCAAAATTTGCAGAACCCTTCCTGTTTCCAAGATTCCTTCAACTCCTTCCGATGCGCCGAGCTATGCTCTCACTACGGCGAATAACAGTGAACACCTCTACGCCCTGAGTTCCATCAGCACTTCCCAGTCCAGTGACTCCATCGTTTCATCTCAATTCAAATCCCATGAACATACGACCTTTTGAAAAACATACTGGGCCTCGAGTTCTCACCGGAAACAACCTCTCGAACTGTCTCTGGGCTGGATCTTTCACCTGATCTACCCACTTCATCACTCTGATCATCTGCCAATACCTCTGAACAGAGTACTAGTGTTGTTGCGCCCACTGGGCACACATTCCATTCTGATTCAGCCTTTTCGCGCTCGCTACCATCCGTTCGTAGGCATAGCATGACCGAATTGGATCGCTTATAGAAGGCAGTTAAGTTCATTGTTGACGAACTCCAATTCTCTACTGTCGCTGAGTTCCTCGCCTTGTATCTTCAACAGATTGATTCCTCGTGGCTCTTCAGATGGCTTTTCAGAACGTCACCAGATGAACCCACAAGCTTTTCTACAGGGACAAGGTCCTCCCACTGGTTTCTGTTGTCATTTACGAAGAGTCCTGCTTCAAGCTTCAAGCTTCACGAAGGCTTACTCGTATCCCATCTTTGCTTAAAGCAGATACCTGACATCGGAGACGTCCGTCTTCTATGTATCATAACTTGGAAATGTTACAAAAGGGTCCATTGTCCATTGTTGCTGCTTTTTGTTATTCTTCAATGCTACGTGAGCAATCTCTTCGTTCCCACTGTTATCCAATTACACTCTACTCTCCTCGCATCCAAAACCGCATTCCGTGACACGATAATTCCAAAACTGGAGAACTTCCTCTGCGTTGCGGGTCAACATATCTAAAAACGTAGACCTCCAGAAGGGCACCGCCTTGCATGGTCTCTCTAGACAGAAGCGAAGCACCACTAAAGTCGAACGTTCGAACTATTCAAACCCATGGCTATTCTTAAATCTTAGAACTCCGGGACCGCTTTCAAGTCCAGCGTGATGCATCAAGATGCAAGCTCAAAGTTGAGTCACTGCAAAGTCACTGGCTTCTTATGCATTCAATGGCACAACACGGCATTATATCTAGAGCCCAGAAAGCCCTGTAATATGCGTTGGGATGGAGCAAGTGCCAGGATAATAGGATCGAGGTACGTTATGAATCTGCATCGATTTGATGTAAATGTTGATAGTTGTTGTGGGAAGGTGGAATCGAGGTGCGCGCGCCCATAGGTACAATCAACGAGGGGAACGCACTCGCCTTGGGCTGCAGGAAACAAAGCAAGGCGCGGACGAATCTGGGCAGGACGTCTTTTACAGTTCAACTTCAAGAACAAAGAACCAGGTTCTACAGAATGAACGGGAGGTAAGCATTATCAGGTTTGACTATTCAAGTATAATGCGGTACAAGCGCGCGCCAAACGATAGATTATCAAGTGCTCAACTAGTATATGCGTTACGGTGTTGAAAATGGTATCCATCACTACTTTGATTATCGATAACCATGCGGCCGCACTATACGGACATCAAGCTCGACAGCTCTGAGGACCTGTGCTGCGCCGCGTCACTGTCCGCGGGGCCAATATACTACTCCTGGCAAATTCATTCCTTTCTTTTCGTCGTTGTAGATCTGCCTCAACAGGAATGCGGTTCCAAGTTAACCCTGTTACATCACTACGCGTGTTCAAAAAACAAAAAACTATAAGTACTTGCGGCGTCGGTCGCTGTCCCTTCAGTCAGTGTCCCACTGACTACTACTTGTACTTGACTATTTGCCGCTTACACTGAATTCCATCCAAATGCGTCGCTCTCGCGGTCAAGTGCCGATTGCCGTTCCAATTCAAGACCCAACAACTCCAGGGCCGGCACGGGTTCGGCGGCTGCCTGGTGGGGCCATGAACCACGGTAACGTCTATAGCCTTCCTTGGGCAGACGCGTTAGACTGACGATCTGTATGGATGTGTAACAAGGTGCAGGATTACCACAACCCATGCCCCTCGAACAGCCGTGGATCTTGGGGGACGGTCCCGATAACAGTATGTCGATGTTCTCATATGTGATCGTTTTCGTTTATACTTACTTACTTACCAGCGGAACAAAGCATCTTATCCACCTCCGAGTCACTAGCCGCCGAAACAGCCGCAAACGAACCATCGATTGTAATGAAACTAGAGACGAAGCACCTCGAAGAACGCTGGGACGAGCAGGGCCGTGTCCACATTACTGAAGCAGGCGAGGCCCCGCCCAAAAACGAGGCAGACTGGGCAGATTACGTTCTCACCCATACTCGGCACTTTGATCGATTCAACGGCCAGTACACGCACTCGGACATCGAAATCAAGTCAAAGCCCTTGAAAAGCCTCTTGAAACACGCCATTAGGAACTACCCCGGTGTGAGCTTCGCCACAGATCAGGTTATGTTGATAATGCCCGCTCACCCGCTGTTCAACACTCGCCACGAATTGTGGAACATCGTCAAGGAGGAGAAACTCGGGAGTCAAGATGGCAGAGAACATTTGAAGTATTTGCTCGAGTGGTACCAAGAGGAGGAACGTGGGCTTATTACCCAGTATGACGATCTGGTCGCCCAGGGCCTCACTACTTATTCATTGTAAGTACAACGACCTCTTCTCTTCCTGCAATCTGCTGACTAGAACGCTGGCCAGACTTTGGACAGTCATGAAACCTGGGTGTACGATATATTCCTCCGTTCAAGGCCAACCCCGAACTTTCGTTCTCATCAATCATCACCCATCCCGCGACCAGAGCTCCCTCATCCTTCAAGTAGCCTACACCGACTTCGATGGTCAGAAATTCGGAAACGCTTTCACACAGCTCGTTATTCCCAAGTTTAGTGGCACTGCGCCTATCAACTCTCTCGAAGCATACCCTCTATCTTGGCATCCACAGAAAGACACTATAACCGAAATGTTGATTCGTAGAGGAAGGTTATTTGAGATGTACGAAGGGAAGCACTATATGGAGTACTCAGGACTTACGTTCGGAAAAAATGATGAAAAGTTCGATATAGAAGGCAGAGTTATGGTAGATGCGGAGACTTTTGGGAAGATCAATCCCGGCAGGGCCAGAGGCGTACAACCGTTCCACAAAAAATTCGTCGTGCATGATAAGACCAAGGAAGAGGAAGAGGCAGAGGCAGAGGCAAACGAGAAAAAAACTAAAACTCTCACCGACGAGCAATGTCTCCAGGCAACCAGCCTCGTGAGTGGGTTCGCCTTTGAAGAAAAAGAATGGGTAGACTTCAATCTCGAGAAACTCTCTCCAGTCCGCTGGAACGAAGACTCCTTCGACCAACTTGTTCTCCCTTTGCAACAGAAAGACATGGTCAAAGGATTAGTTCAAAGTCATATGAAATCTGACAAGAAGGGCGGGTTTGATGATTTCATCAAAGGTAAAGGAAAGGGTATGGTCATGGTACTGCATGGCCCACCAGGAGTTGGGAAAACATTGACGTGAGTATCCGAGAATATCTTTTGCGACTCTTTCAGCTGTCACTAACGCTCATCATCCCTTATACTTAGAGCTGAATCTCTGGCTGAATTTACCAAACGTCCTTTATACATGGTTTCATCCGGGGAGCTAGGAACTACACCGTCTGGACTCGAAGAGAACCTGGCCCAAATCATGAAAGTAGCGACTGCATGGAAGGCGGTTTTGCTCCTTGATGAGGTATGCATTTCACTCCAGACATTGTGTTTTCCTAAATCTGACAATCATACCCAAGGCAGATGTTTTTTAGAGAAGCGATCCTTCCAGGATATCACAAGGAACGCTCTTGTTTCCATATTCCTTCGATTGCTAGAGTATTATCAAGGTTAGCCAATACTTATCTCTTAGTAATACTGGGGACTAACGACATCCGCAGGTGTTCTAGTTCTCACTACCAACCGCGTCGAATCCTTCGACGAGGCCTTCCAATCACGCATCCACGTTGCCCTCAAATACCACGATCTCACCAAAGAATCCCGACGAGCAGTCTGGAAGAACTTCCTTTCCCGGCTAGGCAAAGGGAACGAAATGGACGAAACGGTGTACGATGCGCTTCAGGAATACGCCTTGAACGGGCGGCAAATCAAGAACGCTGTGAAAACGGCGGAAGGGCTGGCGGAGTTCAAGGGGACGAAGGTTGATTTGGGGATTTTGGAGACGGTGTTGAATATGCAGAGGGACTTTGCGAGGGATTTCGAGGCGTCGAAGAAAGAAACGTAGAAACGTAGAAGTGATATTGCCTTGATGTCTGTTTATACTCGTACTGCAATGATTAGATCCAGAAGTCCATGATCGACTAGGTGGCCACTGGCTGCTTCAACTTGTCTGGCTTCTCGACTTTCTCCGTCGTTCACCCAGCTGCTTCCACTCTAACTGTAAAAATAAACATTCTCCTCGCGCTATTGTTGCATTCATTACCTCGTTCTTTCTTG